TTCAGTCTTTCACCCTCCTTGGATGGCATTAATCTGTCCTCCAGCTCTAATGTTAAAAATATTGGTGTTATTTTTGATCAGGAAATGTTTTTTATCCCCCACATTAAAAACATTACTAGAATTGCCTTCTTCCACCTGTGTAATATAGCTAAAATTAGAAACATCTTCTCTAAAAATGATGCAGAAAAACTGGTTCATGCATTTGTCATGTCTAGACTGGACTATTGCAATGGCTTATTATCTGGGTGTCCAAATACTTCTTTAAAACGTCTTCAGTTGATCCAAAATGCTGCTGCCAGAGTCTTAAATGGAGTTAGTGGGAGAGATCATCTCTCTCCAATTTTAGCTTCTCTCCAATGACTCCCTGTCAAGTCCAGAATTGTATTCAAAGTCTTACGTCTAACCTACAAAGCTCTCAACAACCTAGCTCCATTTTATATTCGAGATCTTATTGTTCCATATTTTCCTAACACAACACTTCACTGTCAGACTGCAGGCTTACTTGTGGTCCCTAGAGTTTCCAAAAGCAGAATGGGAGGAAGATCTTTCAGTTATCAGGCTCCTCTCTTGTGGAAACAGCTTCCAGTTTCTATCCATAAAGCTGACACATTGTCCAGTTTTAAGACTGGGCTTAAGACTTTCCTTTTTGATAAATCCTATAATTAGGTTTATGCTTCCTTAAGCTTAGACTATTGGAGAACAAATTGACCTCATTTCTTTAAATGAATTGTTAAAACTGAATAGTTTTCATCCATCAATCCATTATCTTTACCTGCTTGTTCCATTTTGGGTCACGGGGGTCGCTGGTGCCCATGTCCAGCAATCACTGTGCGAGGGGCGGGGTACACCCTGGACAGGTCGCAAGTCCATCACAGGGCCACATAGAGACAAACGAGACAAACAACCATTCACTCTCTCACTCACACCTAGAGACAATTCAGAGTTACCAACCAGCCTAACATGCATGTTTTTGATCTGTGGGAGGAAACCGGAGCACCTGGAGAAAACCCACACATGCACGGAGAGAACATGCAAACTCCACCCAAAAAGGCCCCTGGACCGGGGTTTGAACCAAGAACCTGCTCACTGAGAGGCAGCAGCTCTACCAGTTGCGCCACCGTGCTGCCCTGAATAGTTTTCATTTGATACTATTTCTATCTTAACATGTGATTCTTGACCTGCCATTGTGTATCTGTTCCTCTCAAACCCAGCTGGTCGAAGCAGATTGCCACTTGTCCTGACCCTGGTTCTGCTAAAGGTTTCTTCCTCATGAGGGAGTTTTTCCTTTCCACTGTCGCCTTCATTCTTGCTCAAAATGAAGAGTTCTGTGATGGAGTTAAATTCCAAGCAGTCTGCTCTTCAAATAAATAGTGTTATATTATTATTTGTTATTAATGTTTTTGGTAACTTATTATATTTATGTATGAATGTTTCTGTTCATTGCCCTGAGATGACTTCTTCTATGACTTGGCGCTATATACACTGAACTGAATTTGAATTGAATTGGTATAGTATGGCTTGGGAGAATTATCATGGTTGCTATTAGACCAGTGTTTCTTACACTATCGATGCATTCGTCTGTAAACTCTGAAGCAGATTTCCATGTTTGGCTGCATTCCTACAGCACAGAAGCAGTACCATGGTGACCAGCCATTCTGTGTTTTTCTGTGTCTTGTTCCTGTTCTCTCTAACCCCAGACAAACAATGCAGATGGCTGCTCACCCTGAACATGATTCTGTTGTAGGTCTCTTCCCGTTAAAAGGAGGTTCTTATTTTCCACTGTTAACAATGTATTGCTCATAATGAGAGATTACAAATGAGTTAATGTTCGACTCAATGTGCTGACTTCCTCAGACAGATAACTTTTTACAAATTATCATGTTATAATGTATGGGAATGGTTTTGTACAGTGCCCTGAGATGATGTTTGCTGTGAATTGATGTTATATAAATAAAATGAATAAAACTGATTTGATGTTGCACGTTCTATTCGTGTGCGGGTTTTCTCTGGGTACTGCAGTTTCCTCCTACCAAGCAAAAATATGAATGCTAGGCTAATTATGTAACTCTAAATTGTCCCTGGCCCATTAGAGTGTGAATGGTTGTTTGTCATTTATAACTGTCTTTATGTGTCCTTTCAATGGACTTGTGACCTCACCCGCCTCTCGCCCAGTGACTGCTGGGCTTGGGTACAAGTGGCCCCTGCGATCCGTAAAAGAAGCAGGTAAAGACAAAGAATGGATATTACTAAGTATCAAATATACATGTGTTATGAAAAAAGTTGTGGTTGTATCAAAATAAAATGTTTGAAAACTTTAACCAGCACAGCTGAAAAATGAAAAAAACTTGCTAACTGGATGACCAAAATTACATTCAACCTCTATAAAAAAACATCAGGGGTCCTGATTAAATGGCATCAACGAATGTCACCAGAGCAACTATTTTGTGTGGTATAAACTCTAAATCTCTGGTATAAGTCCAGGTCGCCATGTTCCTTTTGTCTCTAGCCTTACTATGAAATCTTTACATCTGAGCTGATTCATCAATGTTTATTTGAGGTCAGCTTGTTTTATAAATAAGAAAAAATAGGTGTGACCATTTGTTCTGTGTAAGAAAATCTACCAATCCAATAAAATTAAATCTTGAATGTTTTAGGTAACACATCATTTGCTAAAGTCAAGTCAAGTCAAGTCACATTTATTTATATAGCACATTTAAAACAGTAACTGTTATCAAAGTGCTTACCAAAAAAGATCACAGCATCAAATATTAATAACAATATATTATAGCAACACGAATAAAAGCATAAAAACATTCAATGCTAAAAACTGGATTCATGTCAGTAAAAATGTATTAAAGTCAAAAACATAGCTACTGTTAAATTTGATGTGTTAATTTTAACCTTGCAACCTAATTATGCTGTTATCTTTGACAAAACAGTCTATTCTTGAGGAAACTGAGCTTTTTTCATCAAGTTAATGAGAAATTGTTTAAAAAACAAGACTATGTATCTAATGTAAACAAGACAATTGGTTAGAAAATGAGTGATTCATATGTCAAACACACTTCCATCATTTATAACATATGGCGGTGAATGGAAATTGTTTGTGCAGTGAAATTTTTTTTCTACAAAGAAGGGATTTATTTGATATGTCCATTGTCCATATGTGATGGTTCCTTATGTGGAAAATATAAAATTATTTTAGCACGTAAGCAAACGTATGAGAACTGTAAAAGCTTTCAACGTTTTTAACAAAAATGTGTTTCAGAAAATGTAGATTTTTCTTTTAAAATGCATTATTAGTCCCACATTCAACAAATAAACAGGTTATTTATACATATCTGAAATTTATCAGTTCTAGTATATTGTTCATAAAATTTTACATCACATTGAAAACAGTTCTACCTTTAAGGTGCCCTTTGTTGAGTGTTTCCTGAACATAAGCACTAAAACTAAGTTTACTATTTGTTAGCATGAGTAAACATACAGCCACTTCTATTAAACAAAGCGTCATCTAATGAGTCACAAATCGTGCAAAAATCTGTGCATGCCAAGTGCAAACGCACACACAACACATTTACTGACAACAAAAAGAGGCATCTTATCAAGTACTTGATGTAAAGCGTTCCTCTAGAACTATGAAGTTAAAATAAGGCCGGAGCAGGTCAAAGCAACAGCGCACACACACACACACACACACACACACACACACTGTAGTTTAAAGCTGCAACAGGTGAGAGGGTTTTGATGATAAGGGACTCATGTTTGACAGTCCAGCAGGAGGAAAAAGACCATAATCAATTATCAGCTGTTAAAATGAATAAAATAAACATATTTTGCCATACTTAGTTGCTCCAGTAGTGGGAGTCTTTTCAGACTAATCTTTAGATTTTATTTTTTTTTTGGACAAATGCCACAACTTCGCCAAGATGGTAAGCAACACAAATGTGTGAAGGTCACTTACTAAAGTCCAGTTTTAATGATGTGTTTATATCTGTAGACTTTTTGCCCTTGTGAGCAATAAACTACCGTATTTTTTGGACTATAAGTCGCTCGTTTTTTCATAGTTTGGCCAGTCCTGCGACGTATAGTCCGAAACGACTTGTATACAATTTTTTCCCCCTATTCATGATGCAATCTTTGACTGACGCATTAAATATTCATTCATACTGACATGAGCCAAAGAGTAAACATTACCATTTGCAGCCATGAGAGGGCCCTCTAGGCTTTTAACAGCTATATGTTGTTCCTCTTCTGCTAACAACCCCGCCCCCCACCACCAATCTTCCTCTGGAGTTGGTGGAGTTTTTCAGTAGCGACACCGAGTATGGTAACTATTGGCTTGTTACGTTAATTAAGCTTGTTCAGGATCCCAGGTATGTTCTGTGTGTGCACGTCGCATGCAAACATATAACTGTTGGGAGCGCAAGTCCACGGGGGCGGGCGCGCAGCCTGTGTGTCTCTGCTGTGACAGACACAGACTCAGAAAAGAGAGGGAGAGGGCAGGGGAGGTGTCTGTCCTTACCCATCGCTACAGTGCAGCTTCAGTGAGACACGAGTGAGACCGGGCTTGTTTATTTAAAATAATAAAGCGCGACTCGAACCGAGTCTTTAGTCCAGTCCATCGGCGATCACTAAGCGGGCCAGGTCACCGGGAAATGTCATGACGACCCCAACGGTCAGTCAGCCCCTGTGTGTTATATCAGATTAAATGTTTGTTCTTGAACATTATGAAATACACTTCTAAATAAATGTGACTTATACTACGAAGCGACTTACTGTATATGTGTTTTTTCCTCTTCATGATGCATTTTTTGACTAATGCAAACTATATTCCGGAGCAACGTATAGGGCGTAAAATACGGTACTTCTGAGAGTCGCCTTCAATATAAATGTTTATTTGTTTTCTTACAGCTGATTTAAAATTTGTCCCAGACATGTCAGGATTCCTGGTGCAGCTTTAAACTGTGGTTGGCCGATCGGTGTTTGTGTGTTCGTACCTTTCCTCAGCAGACAGTTCTTTCAGCTGTTGATGAGGTTTGGTTCCTCTCATCTCTCTGATGCTCACAGCATACATTTTTGTCACATAGTCCACCTTCTTCTCACGGGCAACATCACTATCGTAACCTTTAAACACACAATTAGTAAAAATTAGACAGCTGCAGCTTTTTCATTTTTGAGGACCTGCCTATCTTTTTGCAAATGAGATGTGATTAAAAAAAAGATGGCGTTGGATTTTTTTAGGAAACCACATCCAGTTTATTTGAGCTTCACATTTTTAAGGTTTCATTTTCAAACCAGAGTGGACCAACCTCCATCCTCCTCGATGTCATCGTCCGACTCTTCGCTGTCCACAGGAGGCTGGTTATCAAGAAACAAAGGTCCTTCCCCTTCTGCGTTGATCCTGCCTCCTCGCTCTCTCGCCCAGATCATCAGAGCAGTGTCGGCTCCACCTACTGTCAAAAGGGTGGAGTCTTCATGAGCCCATCGAACGTTGGTCACCTGGGCACTGTGGCCCACGTATCGTTTAAATCGGGCGTATTGACCCTAGAGAAAAAAATGGATACAACTGCTGAAACCATCTGGATTTACAAAATCTTCAGGAAGAAGGTGTAAATTGTCATAAATTTATAAAAAAAATAAAACCCACAAGTTTAATAGGTATTCAGCTTATAATGGGAAGAATTAATTCAAAAGGCAAATAAAAGGATCAATATTGAGACGAAAGGAAGGAGAGACATTTTATTATTAAGTTCAAAAATCATTTGTTCAAATGGTTTCGTAATTTTTGAGGTCCAGATGACCTGATGGACCATTATTGGGTGTTGTACCTGGATGATTGAGCATGAACTTTTTATGATAATTTTTCAGGATTCTGTAAAAACCTTCAGACAGAAAACTCTTTATGTCAAACATCACTTAGGTTTGTTAAAGTCTGCCTGGATTTTTTTTCACACTATAAATTTAAAAAAGTATTCAACTGAGCATTATTATTTCCAAAAACAGAAAAATAATGTGGACAAAAATCTAAAGTTTGGGTTCATCAAACAGAAATGAACAAAACGGGGCCTCGATTCTAAAAAGCAGAAGGATTTTTGTTGCTCTCCAATACAAGCACTTTAGTCCTGAGAGAGTTTTAATCTTTTGTTCGTTTGACAGATTTTTCCTAAAGTTCAGATTAAAGGAATGTTTAGGGCATAAAAAGTCAATAATTCAGACAAATTTCAGATTTAAACATAAAAATTGAGATTAGTTTAATAATATGATGATGTTAGAAATATTTAATATTTTCCCTCCAGACAATGATGTTTGCCTCCAGAATTTCTTTTCTGGTCAATTACACCTTTATATTACAAGCCCACATCATGATGTCTTCACCACCGTGCTCAACAAAGTAATTCCAAACAAATCTTTGCTCACTGCTGGTGAAACGATAGTAATTCTTGACTTTATTCAACTTTTCCAAATTCATGTATTTTTTTCTTTTCTTTTTTCTTAAGGACTTACTAATAAAGAGAGCTTTGATTTGACTTTCTAACAAACTTTCAAATATTTTTTTCAAAGTTTTCTGTTAATATTTTCTTTATATTTAGTTTATTATTCACAGACAGAAATATCCATCCATCCATCCATTATCTTTTACCCGCTTCTTCCATTTTGGGTCACGGGGGTCGCCGGTGCCCATGTCTGGCTATCACTGGATGGGGTACACCCTGGACAGGTCACAAGTCCATCACAGGGACACATAGAGACAACCGAGACAAACAACCATTCTCTCTCACTCACACCTAGGGACAACTTAGTGTTCAGACAGAAAACATTTTTGCTAAAATGATGGCCTCCAATCACTTTGTATTGTGCTATTTTATTTTTAAAGCATTAACCAGTCAGCTGAAGGATGGATGCAACTTGTAAGTTGGATGTAACTGGGACCTTGAGTACACAACTTCGTTCCACCACATGTATCACATGTGATGCGAATGACAATAAAGAACCTTGACCTTGAACTTGAAGGTCTAAAATGTTTTAGTAGATCAGTTCATCTCCTGATCAGTTACTTCTGCCGGAATATTTTTTACTTATTTTTATTTTTAAAAAAGCCATATCTCTTGTGAGTGAAACACTTTGCATATTTTTTCTATAATACTAGAAAATTTCAATATCTGGGAGTTATTTACAATTTACTGTATATTAAAACAGTGTGATCACAGTTTAATAGGAGGCCTTTACTCTGACAGTTTGTGGGTCGTACTTGAACAGGGTAACTGAACAGTTTGAGGAAGCCGAAGTCGTCTCCAGTGGCGAGCAGCGTTCGGTCTCTGGTGAGAGATGCTGCGTTGATGTCAGTGATGTCACTGTATGTTGGCCAGATCCCCTCACAGCTGGAACCCAGAACACATGTCCAACTGGACCAGTCTATCCGTTCCAGCTACAAATATACACAAAAACATGTAATTTGGCAGTGGGTGTGAGTGAGAGCGGTGCATGAAGACTCAACATGTCAAGAAACCTAAAATCTGTAAATTATCACACATCAATATGAGACAAGTCTGCCCAGGTTTAATCCACACTCTGCCAAACCAACCTCTGAGTTTTTGATAGTTTGTTGTCTTCCTCTTGGAGCCTCGAAGAGAAGGTGATCTTTGGCTCCAGTGTTCACCTGCAGGAGTTTACCTGCAACAAAACCCCACAGAAAACATGAGTGCTAAATGATGGGGGATGTAAAGGTCATGGATGTTTTTCACTTACTAATTTTAATATAGAACCATGTGTGTGAAGCCAAGAGAGCCTTTTTGTTTACTCAGAGAGGAGTCTGATAACTGATGCCTTCAAGAAATGTGAGCTGTGAAGCAGAGGTCGTCTTGACCTCGCCTCTTTCCGATAACGGGTATTTAAGCTTTTGCTAAGTCTTTCTCTGTGGGCAGACCTTGGAGACAGAGTGACATGTAACATCTTGTATGCTTGTTTTTCAACTCTGCACCCCCCATTGCAAGGGATTAAACCTGAGTTGAAAAGATCTTCTTGTCGTCCTCTTTGTGGTTATTTATTTAATGAGTTATGATAGGATAATTAAATTATCACTAAACTGGAACATTTCTGAGGAAATGATGAAGGGTGCACTGCCACTACTGCCTGACACACAAACATCCACTAACTCTCTCTGTAAAAACCTAATTATACTTTTAAACTTACATTGATATTAATCTAAGCATTCATTTAACCAGACTCTTGTTTTTTAAAGTATCTAAGAGTTTCATTTAGGTGTTGTGACATGCATGAACGTAATGTGTATGGGAGTGTATGTTTAATAAAGAAGAAAATGATGAAAAATGAAGACCGCATTCTGCCGAAAACTCTTACCTAATTCTACTTAACATTAAAAGTCTAATGTGAGATGGCACAAAATATGAAATTATACAGAACCTATAAGAGCCCTATGATAAAAAGGAGAAGAACAAAGTCTGTGATGTATAACTACCAAAAGCCATTGCACACAATTACTGATCAAAACACATTTTTTGATGTATACAAAATTGTCAAAAATTCCATCTGGGCCACCTAAATGGGAAAATGCCACTTTTTCAGAAATATTTCCCTCAACTAAATACTGTAGTCAGTTTACAAACAAAACCTGAACGGTGGAGTTTTGTGAAACTAAAGGCCCTAAAGGAGATAAACTTTTTAAAAAGCTATTTAAATTTGATATTTTTACTTCAGGATGAAATAGCTCTACAAGATTGACTAGTTTATTATGGACAAAAATAAATAGTATATTTCATTAGTTATGGGACGTGTTTTTTTTTTCTCCAGAAACAGTTACCATAAAGTTAAAGGAACTTTAAACAGAAAACTTTATTTTGTAGCTCCTTATCAATGTTTGTTTAGGGCCCAGAATAATTAACATTTATAGTTTTAAACTGGACTCGCAGTTAAAAACCTTCTTTGTTCAGCAGCTAGATGTTTTACCTCGAGTGTCCCAGTCCATGTGTGTGATGTAACTGGACACTCCTTTACAGATGCCGATTCTCTTGGTGCTCAGCACATTGTAGATGTCAACAAAGCTGTCATGTGACGCCACGGCCAGGTATTTCCCTGGATCTGAGAGTGAGACAGAAAACAGAGCAGAGGCAGTGATGGTGGATGTTAAACCTGAAAAGAGTTGAAAAGTGTTCAATATAATTTGTGTATCCGTTGGCTTTAGTGATGATAGTGTCATTACTGACAGCCCTGGACCCTGGTTGTAAAAACAAAAGTTCCTAGGCCTAAAGTAATATATAAAATAATTTATAAATCTTTTCAGAACATGACTCCATGAATGATGCAGCAAATGTACAGCGGAATGATGTTTCAGATCACACATGCACAGCTAGTATTAAACACTTTTTGTAAAATGTTATTGTTTTAGCTGTGTGTGATACTCATGCCCAAATGTATTTGTGAGATCTGTAAGGTTGGCTTGGTTGGATGATGAATTAAAACACCGTATGAAAGAGAGAGATGAGATGAAAAGAGTTCCTGTAATGTCTGGTAATCCTGCAGATTGTTCCGTATTACGGTTTTTCTTTTACATTTTATTGTTGGATGTATCTGGGACCCTGTGTCTACAATTTTGTTCCACCACATGTACCACATGGAACAACAATAAAGAAACTCTGACTCTGAGATTGGCGAGCTTGTGGCTCATTTAGAAATAAAGTAGCAAAATCAAATAGGCAAAAGAAAAAACAATATTATCAAACTAAATCTGAGAAGAAAAAAAATCCATGAACAATTGTTACTGTGATGTTTGACATTAAATGTACCACTGAACAGATATTAACAAAACTTTCATAAAGTAGTCCATCTACAACTGATTAACTTTTAGAGTCAACCCAGTTGAAGATGGCCACCACAGCTACTGAATATGGCAATATTCATTCATTCATTCAAGCTTTATTTAGACATATGCAGCCAGGAATGCTAGGCCTTTTCCTTCACTAAGACTTTGGTGCTGAGTGTTAAATGTCCCGTTTCTCAGTGCTGTCAGCAGTGATGCAGTAATCTGTTGGTACCAGGGGAAAAACGAATGTCAGAAATGGCGTCCCGGCGATGGTGGAAGCTGAGCAGATCCTCCAGCGTGTCTGCGTTAACCACCAGGACACCACCGTCACTCAGACCCACTGCCAACGCCTTTCCATCAGGGGAGAAGGCGCAGCAGCGGCCACCTGCAACAAACCAACAAACAGCTCAGTCAGGCATCATCAGGCCATTACTTCACAATTAAAGAAACTGTTTTAAATACTAGAGTACTTTGAACAGCATTATAGACAGGTAAAACACTTTGTTTTTATGAGTTCAATTCATCCATCCATCCATCCATTTTCTTCACCCGCTTATTCCATTTTGGGTCACGGGGGTCGCTGGTGCCCATGTCCAGCAATCACTGTGCGAGGGGCGGGGTACACCCTGAACGGGTCGCAAGTCCATCACAGGGCCACATAGAGACAAACGAGACAAACAACCATTCACTCTCTCGCTCACACCTAGGGACAATTTAGAGTTACCAATCAGCCTAACATGCATGTTTTTGGACTGTGGGAGGAAACCGGAGTACCCGGAGAAAACCCACGCATGCACGGAGAGAACATGCAAACTCCACCCAGAAAGGCCCCTGGACCGGGGTTTGAACCAAGGACCTGCTCGCTGAGAGGCAGCAGCTCTGAGTTCAATTCATTATTTCTTAAATAATTCTTTAAAAATAAACTCAACCTGATTATTGCCTGCCTTTTGCCTTCAGCAATGAGTGATGATGGGTTTGACTATGTGTGTGAATTTGTCTGTTAGCACAATATTGTGTGAATTTCAGCACATATTTCATTAAAACTTAAAAAAGTTATTACTGGATTACCTACAACTGAATAACTTTTGTTGTCAACCAAATTCAAGAAGGTCACCACAGCTATCTGAACGCAACAAAACATAGTTTTGACTCAGTCAGTTTGACACTTACTGAACCAAAGTTAGGTGCGGAAGAAGTTAACACTGATATCCAAACATAATTAAAGCACTAACTTAAAGCATAGATTTGTTTTAGTTAAGTCTGTCTGTTAGCAAAATATTGCATGGATGGGTTATACTGAAACATTCAGGATGTTATTGGATGTATGTCCACAACTGATGAACTTCTGAAGGCCATCTGATTCAAGATGTCCACCAAGAAATGAAAAGATGGCTATAACAGTCAATTCTACACATCCATCCATCATTTTTATCCGCTTCTTCCTTTTTGGGTTGCGGGGGTCGCTGGTGCCCATGTCCAGCCATCACTGTGCAAGAGGTGGGGTACACCCTGGACGGATCTCCAGTCCATCACAGGGACACATAGAGACAAACAACCATTCACTCTCTCACTCACACCTAGGGACAATTCAGAGTTACCAATCAGCCTAACATGCATGTTTTTGGTCTGTGGGAGGAAACTGTTCATGCACGGAGAGAACATGCAAACTCCACCCAGAAAGGCCCTTGCCCAGGATTCGATCCGGCAACCTTCTCACTGAGAGGCAACAGCTGTACCAACTGAGCCACCAAGCCGCCCTTCAAATGATTACATTTGATTAAATTAAACACTTTAGCTATGTCCCACTGAGGCATTCAGACAAAAAGAGGATCATTTCCACACCATTTTAAAATTGTATTTCAAAGAAATGAACATTAAAAACAAGTGGTACGCTGATGTCCCCAGTCGCTGCAGGATTTGAACAGTGAATGTTTGTAGTTTTTGATTAGAGGTAGTCCAAGGCTGTGCAGAGTGATGGATCCTAGCAAGTGGCAGGAGTAATTTTATCCATCATCAGCCACAATAGTGGAGCCAGGGCGTGGCCAGTCTTCAGCCACACCAAGAGCTGCCCCAATCGTTTTAGGGAATTCATTTGAAGCAAGCAAAACTAGAAAGCAGAATTTCCTCAAAAGATAAGGGTAGCCAGTTTAGATTCATATATGGTTGCAGCCATTTTGGATTTTGATGTGGCAGCACAATGTCTAGTGGGGACCTTTTTTACGTCTATGTCTCTTTTACATCTTTGCAGCCACACATTAAAATTGAAATCAGCACATTGCTTATTTTTAACAAGTTATTGAGTGCAAAAGGTGAACATATATGCATATATGGTGACAAACATCTTTAGTTTTGACCTGGCAACCCAGTTTTTGAAAGGAACATTTCTTTTTTCTTTTCATTCAACCTGTATTTATACGGGTTAGTTCCCATTGAGCCTCGAGGACTCATCAAACAAGCAGTAGAGAGTTCTTACACCTTGATGCAGACACACACTAAAATAGAACTCTGTATCTGACCTATGTTTTATTTTTATAATGCTCACGACGTTCACGGAGAGACCGCAGGTATTTCAAATTCCCCGTTTTTGCTCCACGATGAGGGACAGAAATGTTTAATAATGTGTGGGGCAGAGATCTGTTGGTAGTGAATGATGTGTATAAAATTCATATCTGCAGTCTGATTGTTGGTCGGACCTCTCTTCAACTTGCGGACAGCCAGCATGCGGTGATTGACCGACGTCTCCCACAGCCGGAGAGTTTTGTCATCGCTGACTGTGGCGCAGATGGGGAGCAACGGGTGGGAGGCCAGACCCCAAACCTCACCTTCCATGTGACCCTAAACAACAGGAGGAACATGTTTATTTAAAATAAAACACAGAAATAAATTAGGCTCTATCTAATAGAACAGTTAAAACAAGATAAAAGTAGAATTGTTCAAACATTTATATGTTTAAAACTTTAGTTTGAGCCCTGGCTTTTTTCTCTCAGGTAAACTTAAGCAAATTAGTGAATGCTATCTTTGTTTGGAAGCTAGCAGATTGTGTTAAATCTCCTCTTCATCACAATCTCCTATCCTGAGCAGCACACTAGTGATTTCTTATAAATAAATACATTTTAATTAGGGACACAATTTACACCATCCTTCCTACTATTCCATCTGATTCTGTATCAAATGAAACAGTTTTAGAAATGTCACTAGAACCTGATTTGTGACTGGACTGGTTTATTCCTGTTGAGCTCTCTGAAATATTAAAAATAATAGCCAAGCATGTCTGCTAGATCCCATCCCAACCAAACTATTCAAAGTGATGTTTGTCGTGATTAATCTTATTTAATTTTGGATCTGCTGTTGACCGGTCTGATCACTGATCAAAGCAGAGGGGACACAAGACGATTACTGGGAGCATCTTGTGTCATCCATCCATCCATCATCTTTTACCTGCCTTTTCCTTTTTGGGTCGTGGAGGTCATTGGTGCCCATGTCCAGCAATCACGGTGTGAGAGGTGGGGGACACCCTGGACAGGTCTCCAGTCCATCACAGGGACACATATAAGTCTCCAGTCCATCACAGGGACACATATAGAGACAAACAACCATTCACTCTCTCACTCACACCTACGGACAATTTAGAGTTACTTATCAGTCTAACATGCATCTTTTTGGTCTGTGGGAGGAAACCGGAGTACCCGGAGAAAACCCGTGCACGGAGAGAACATGCAAACTCCACCCAGAAAGGTCCCAGGACAGGATTTGAACTGACGATCTTCTGGCTGAGAAGCAATAGCTGTACCAACTGTGCCACCATGCCACCCTCCAAACAAATCAGTTTGTGTTATCCAACAATGTTCAGTCAGGTCATCTGGACAGTTTTTTTTTTCTTTTTTTCTGTGATGTTTCATCCTTAATCCAAAGGAATTATTCAGTCTGAGGAGCCACAAACAAACTGGAGTCCCACAAGCAGCACACTCCCATAGTGGGGGGAAAAAAAGTTTGCTGGTGATAAGATGGTATCTTTGGCCTGCCCTCTCCCCTGTCAACTCCTCTAAGGCAGCCATGCCAAAATGGTTCAAAACATCAAAGTTCATGCTAAATTAAATTTTTTCTGTTTATTAGTGTGTTTTGTAGATTTCCTCGCTGACTTGACAAAAGCCCAGTTAGGATATCCACATATTTGAAGAGCTTCTTGGATGCGTTTTTGTTCCTTTTCCTTACCTTCTGTCTTCGTGGGGACGCGTTCGGCCCGATGCTGCGAAGTTCTGATGATAGGGAGTTTGTGTTCCAGTGGATGGTGGGAGTCAAACAGAAGATACTGGTCTGTGTGGGTTGGTTTTCTGTAAACTTCAATGTTGAGGCTGTCCTCTCTTTCCATTTGAACCAAACAGTCCAAAAAATGCAGCTTGTTGTCGTTTGCATCCTCTCTGGTGAACTTGATGTTGTTATCGACCGAGTTAATGTGTCTGGTGAATGCTTCTATTTCCTTGGCTTGGATTTTGACCCAGCTGTCATCCACCTATCGGAACCAATGGCTTGGCATTGTTCCCTCATAGGAGTGTAGGGCTCTCTGTTCCACTTCCTCCATGTAGAGATTGGCAACAATGGGCGACACTGGAGATCCCATGGCACAGCCGTGCTTCTGTCTGTAAAAACTGTCATTGAACTTGAAATAAGTGGTGGAGAAGCAGACGTCCAACAGAGTGCAGATCTGGTCTGGGGTGAAGTTGAGGATGAGGAACGAAACGTCTTCTGTTACAAATAAAGTCCAGTTGTTTTTGTATTGAACGTTTTTTTGAATTTATCATGTCCTGGATGACTGAGAATCTTCACCAGCATATCAAAGTTCATGCTCAGTAATCCAGGTAAAAATCCAACAATGTTCAGTCAGGTCATCAGGACGTTTTTCTTTGTTGTTTTTTTTTGCTGAGATGGTCCGTCCTTCATCCATAGGACTTCTTCAATCTGAGAAGCCACCAAACAAACTGAAGTCCCCCAAGCATCACACTCCATAGTGGATTCCACTATTGACTTCCATTCATATATATGTATAGCCTAATTCTAAATCTAACCATCACCAGTACCTAACCCAAAACCTGCAGTATAGTATGTGTTGGAAAAATGGGCCTTACAAAGTAACAAGTCAGACACTGACACACTGCTTTCCCTGCCAGTGTTCTTACCTGCACCAGCAGAGTCATGGGTCCGGTTTTGTCAATTTCCAGAACTTCTCCGTTTTTTGTTCCCACCAGGATGTGACCGTGACCCAGAGTGATGGCTCTGATGGACGGGTTGTCTTCCAGCAAAAGGCCTACACACACGCGCGCGCACGCACACGCGCACACACACCCCACACACACAAACAGACAAAGCACATTTGACTTAGTGCCCACATAGTGGCAGTGTTTGTCTGATCCCTCACTGAACAACTTTACATGCAAAAAAAAAAAAAAAAAAAATAAGTACATGCTCAATAATCCAGGTATACAATCCAACAATTTCCAGTCAGGTCATCTGGACAGTTTCTTTTTTTTTTGGGGTGCTGAAACGTTTCACCTTCCATCCAGAAGGCTTCATCAGTCAAGGAAACACACAACACAAAACTGATTCTTTCCCCAAACAGCTTACTCCAAAGTGGAACAAACCAGTTATGTTGGTGCTAAGATGGTGTCTTTGGCACGCCCCCTCCTCTCATGCCGGCCCTCTTCCTCGTTGGCAATCATGTCAAACTGGTTCAAAACCAAAAAAAGTCCATGCTCAATAATCCAGGTATACAATCCAACAATTTTCAGTCAGGTTCTCTGAACAGTTTCTTTTTTTGCTGAAATGTTTCACCACCTTGCCAAAGACACCATCTTAGCACCAACATTACTGGTTTGTTTCACTTTGCAGTAAGCTGTTGGGGGAAGAATCAGTTTTGTTTTGTGTGTTTCCTTGACTGATGAAGCCTTCCGGATGGAAGGTGAAACATTTCAGCAAAAAAAAAGAAACTGTCCAGATGACCTGACTGAAAATTGTTGGAACTTTACATGCACTTCACGGGTGAAGAATAAACATTGCACGAGAAAATAAATCTATTGTTTCAAAAGAAATTCTGGTGCAGACAAGACATCAGTCCCCTAAAATTTAAAGAAAACATTCCTAAATGCTGCATTATGTTTTTGTTTATTAGTCATTAGGTTCACTTGAATCTTCCTTCGTTTTTAACAAGTTGACAATTTTTATCCTTATGCGTCTAAAAACTCCCAAATGGATGAAAAATAACTAGAACCAAGATTCACAGAAACAAAGTTCTCAGAGAAAAGAACCTCATTTAGTTAAAGGTAACTGAAAATTTCATCCTGAACAACAAGACCCTGCTCCCAAGTTAAAATTTGGACTTTATGCCTAAAACATGCCACTTTTGTTTAAAAGCACAGAGTTCACAGCAGCAGCTCACTGTATAGAATAACTTTATTTAATATCACCAAAATAATCCAAACGCAATTCCAGTTTCAGTTAAAAACACTGTTTTAGTTAAAAGTTAAAAAAAAATAATTATATTTTCATTTAAATGTGTTCAAAGCAGAAGCCAGATCCTCCTACCCTCGAGTTCACATTTTGACTCTCTTCAAGCATACATTTGGCAGATTTTATTTGCATCTATGCACTTACCAGCAGCCATTCACTATAAAATGAACATCAAATCTTAAAATCAAAATGAGCAGCATCATCAGATTAAAAATTTTTAAAAAGTCTTCCAGTTTTCAGCTGCCATTGAAACATTGGTTCATGTTGAGTTGAACAAAGTTCAGGTTTATGAGCTAACTGACTGAAGTGTGTTGATTTAACTGAGTGGTGTTCAGTGTAGCTTGAAGTTAACTGAATGTTTGTACCCTTTGAGCCTGCAGACAGAGCTGTTCTCTTGATGGCGTACGTCTTCAGGCAGCGGTCAAACGTGTCATCCCAAAGCTCCACCACCCCATCTTTCCCCCCTGTCACAAAGCCCTGCACAAAAAGACAAGAGTGTGATCAAAACTGAGAGTTGAGAGCAGCTTGATATAGAAAAAAGTACATTTGAAGCTCAAAAATGAAGTCAAATAAATGTGCTCTATTAACACAAGAGGCTGACGTGTAAACCCTGCTGTAGGATGGAGATGGAGGATGAGAACTTTCCTCCTCACCTTGTCTAGGGAGAACATGGCGAACACTGGCCCATCATGGGCTTTCACTGTTTTCAGCAGCAGAGGCTCCTTCCAGATGTAAACATCTCCGGTGGCGGCTCCAGAGAACACCAACGCCTCGCTGCAGCCATAACACACTGACGTCATGGTTTCTGGACGACCGATGCTCCTGAATGAACCACGTTTGAAGGTAAGACCGCCACCTACGAAACACATCAGCACCATCAGCAAGTGAATGTTTTTTTTATCACAGGTGCTTCACTCTCACTAGATCTTAGTCTGGATTATGATCATGTGAAAGCAGCTGTGCTCAGGACATATGAGTTGATACCAGAGGCTTATAGGAAAAAAAAAAACTTTTTGTTGTTTTTATAGGCAAAAGTTTCACCAAAACAATCAGATTTATGTTGAATTTGCTCACGAAAAGCAAGTCCTTTTTGATCGCTGGTGTTTTGCACACCTTGGTTTGGTACCTTCTTATATCTCCTCCCACTTGGCACATCATCAGTGCAGTTCCAACATGCACTCTCAGGCTTTAATTCCCTGCAGAGTCCCCTCAGTGAGGACTGAACTTGGCAAAAAGGCCTTTTCCTACTCCGCTCCTGTTTCCTGGAACACCTTGCAACAGGAAGTGAAGCTGTCCACCTTAATTTCTTTAGGGGATTTTAAACATCTGATAAGGTCAATATAAACATCATGTTCTTGTTTTTAGTATTTTACCTTGTTTTATATGGCACCTTGATTTATTATTTTCTAACACTTTCTTATTTTTATTGCATTTTATTGTAGTTTATTCATATTGTCTGTACTTTATATGTTGTCTGTCTAAAACAGGTCTCTCTTTTAAATGAGTCCTTGTGACTCAATGAAAATAACCTGGTTAAAAAAAAAGGTTGAATGAAAATCCATCCATCCATCCATCCATCCATCCATCCATCCATCCATCCATCCATCTATCCATCCATCCATCCATCCATCCATCCATCCATCCATCCATCCATC